CGCGACAGCTTTTTCGCATGACTGTAGTAATTTAATTAAAAAATAATAATAAAATTATCTATGTCATTATTTTCAAATAAACATATTTTTATCATAATTTTTTTTATTTTTTTTATAAACAAATACTTCACCCGATTTATTAAGTATTGTTTGACAATTCTTATACTGATATTCGGGCGCTTATTTGATTTTTATTTAAAAAATAATTAACAAAAAAATAAAAGTCAAAGAAAATAGTAAAATTATTAATCAATTTAATCATAATGATTAAAGTTTTGTCGTATAAAAAAGTCGACAAATTATGAATTAGAAATCAAACTGGCATAAAATAGTGAAAGTTTCCACGTATTAATAAATAATATAGAACTGATTAAATAATAAAATAAAAAAACAATAAAAAAACACCCAAACAAAATACAATAAGATAAAACAAACCTATTTATTACTATACATTTACTATAATAAAGTTAAAAAAAATAACAACAAATCAAACACTATGAACTAAAAAATTACAGAACTTGATCTGATTGGCCAATTTCTTGAAAGACGAAAGTCAAAAGACAAATATTCTGTTGTAAAAACCTGTGTGCTGAGAAAAACTGAAAAAAACACTCTAAATTACCCGAAACATCTCCAAAAACAAGTGCAAACTACAAAATTAAATAACTTGTTTTGATTGGTCAATATTAACAAGTATAAATAGCAATCTGAAATTGAGGTGACAAATACAAATTGCATGGACAAAAAGGAGATGTCAACCCTTACAACACAAAGCACAGTGACAACTGGCCTCTCTCGCGATAGAAAGAGAGCTTCTCGCTCTTGTGAATCCTGTGTTACTAATGCTATAGTATACACACTTATTAGTCAAATGGGAGCTACAGCCACGTTCAGAAAGACTAAGAAGTCGAAGCAGACCGTTAAGATGTACTTGCCGGAAACTGTCTCACTGAATGGAACAATTTACGACCAAAACACACTTGCCTCAATGAGCGAGACTTTGTTGACTCAAGTCTTGGGCGAAGCCCCAATGGATATCTCTGCAATGAACGACAAACAGTACAACAGATCTAAAGAGGCACAAGTCAATAACGGCATCTTATACTTATTGAATACACTTGGATACACCTTTGCTGTCAAACAAACTAAAAGAACAAAGTGCACAGAAAGGTTGGTCAAAATCAACTCCCTCACAACACCATTCGCTGACGTCATCAGTGGAGACTTACTCGAAGAAGCTGGTGTTGCCTTTGGGAAGAAAATCGAAGAGTTGTTCGGCAGAGAAATGACCATCTCCGTCTCTGCAGAGAACTTGAATGACCTCCCACAACTCCCTTTCAGCTTCAACCAAACTAATTTGTATCAACAAGTAGTCGAACAGAGTAATCCGTGTGATGGGTCGATGATTGGGTCTATTGTTTCTGACGGAAATTCTTATTACTTTGTCACACAAGATGGAACGGCTTATAATTTTAACTATACGATGTAATCTAGTTGTTGATGTGTTTTATTTTTCTTATTAGTTTTAGTTTCTATTACTATATTTTAATTATCAAATGACTAGTTGTTTTTTAGTTGTATTATTTAAGTTTTTTTTCAACAGATATTTTTTGATGAGAAATTTCAACAAATAAAAAAAAAATAGAAAAAATTGGTTTCTGTTTGCACGAAGTTTATTACAGAGATGGAATTAAGTAATACATTTAATTATTATAATTAATTAGAAGTATTAATTTAATTTCAAAACTAAAAGAACACTCTATAATTAGTAAAAATTAGTAAAAACGAACAATTCTTTCTTTCATTTTTTTCTTAGTTTTTAAAAGTAAATTTTAGGTATCATTATAGTTAAAAAGTGGAATAATGAATAGTGAAACTAAATTAAAAAAGAAATCAGAATGGATTGTGCTTTTAACATTCCCAAGAAGACAGTCTTATTTGTTATATTATAATAACAAATTAAGCTAATGAGTCATTAAAGAGAGCAAAACAAGTTTCAGAAGAAATAAGAAAAAAACAAATATAACTCTATTGTTGTTAAAAAAACTATACTATAGTAAAATAATAGATGAGAACACTGAAGCCTGTAAATTGAGTAAGTCTGATTTCTTCTTAGAATCGAAGTTGCAGAATTGGATTCGAAGATTTATGAATAGCAAAAGAATCCAAGTTCCTCCTTATTAAATGACCATATCTAAAAAGTCGTTAGATGTTACTGTTAGCTGTCCTTTTCACACTTTCTCTTGCGCAGTACGACTGCACCTCCGCTGTCGAGGCAGCACTCCCAAGTTTTGAAAAGACGTTCTCGTTCAGCGCATCGACCCCAACGTCTAAAATATCTCCAGACGCTGGGTCAATTCATACTGTCCAAGCTTACTATATAAAAGTCACCCACGTCGACGACCCGGCTTCTTTGATCATGCAAATGTCGTCTTGTTTCAATGACAATACCTTAGATGCAGATATTGATATATACTCTGTGTGTGACACTAACATCGCACAAAACAGAATCTATTCTTCGGGTATTTCAACACAGTGCTCGGGCAAGACAGAAAGCCCTTATCTGTTGTGGGAATCCAACAAAGGAAACACTTATTACGTCGTTGTGAAAACAAGAGATGTGAACCAAGTAGGTACCGTCCATCTTTCAAACCAAGTCTCTGTCGATACCAACACGAATTATGAATGTAATGTCGCCACTGACATTTCCGCATTCCCTTTCACTCAAAAGGGATACCTCTCAGGGTCTATTCCAGTGATGAAAGTCGAATGCACTGAACCTTACCCAATGCTTTGGTATAAGATGAAAGGTGATGGAAAGTACTATGTTGCCCATACATGCAGCCCTTACACTAACATCGACACTGCCATTGTGTTGGTCACTTCTTTGAACGCAGGCTCATGCAAAAACTCAAAATGCGCCAAACAGGCCGATGACGGCTGTTCTGCAGATTCGTTGTCGACAATCCTTTCTTTCAAATCAGAAGTCGACGTGGACTACTACATTGGTGTCTATTCAATCAATGGGGTCTACGGCCAATTCCAACTCCATATTGACTCACTCCAAGACTCAATTCCAGCTGTTTGTGAACACGCTCTCCCAATTCAAAAACTCCCATTCGCCAAAACTGTCAATGTGGTTGAGGCTTGGCCATACACCGACGCCGGGTGCACTCGATTCCCAGAGAAGTACAGATCTGTTTTCTTGACCATTGTTGGTGAGGGTAAAGAAATGGTGATTTCCACATGCAAATCATTGGACGCACAATTGAACACCATTGGTGTTGGGGTTGAAGTGTTGAGTTCATGTGATGGAATGCAATGTGACATGTCCAACAGTGAATATGGAGAGTGTTACACTAACAACTATTTGATCAAGACCCTTACCAAAGGTCAGACGTACATCATCCATGCCTTCTGCAAAGACGGCCCATGTGAATTAACTCTGAATGTTTATGTCAAGCCAGACGATCACTCTGATTGTGAACACGCAATGGTTCTTGTCGATCCAGGACAAGTCAACGATCTTTGCAATTTGACTAA